AAACTTGGAGTGCCTTTTGGTTTCTTCATCACCGTATTCTTTATTTCTTGACTAATCTTGATACTAGCCGATGATATTCAAATAATTGATCAAAGGGGAACCCATTCCTGAAGAATTGGCATAGCTCTTGATAAGCAACCAGCAAAAGGCTCAAGATTTTCTTTGTAAGCAACTCTCCGTAGTTTCTTCCAAAATAAATAGTCCTGGGAAGCCATGGTCTTTCCCACTTCTAGACAGACTGAAAGGACTGAGGGGAAAAAACAATGTCAGATTTAGGATAAAAAACAACAAAGACATATACGCACACTCAAGGACCACACTGTGCTCTCGTTTACAAGCCTTAACCCAACATTCCAAGACAGGAAAACCATACCTTCTTACCTCATAAGGTTTAGGAAATACTTTCCTGATGAAATGATAGAACTCTTTTTCTTGACTGAATTTGTTCTTCTTTGGATCAAAGCCCTCACAAAATGCTTTGACCATTTTTATGAATAACTTTTCGTCCAATGCATGCTGTAATGTTTCATTAATTTCACTTGGAGTCAGCTTTGGAAATTGTGTGGAGGTTTGATATATGGCCATTTGAGTAACTTTTTTTAAAAAAACAGGGGTAATTTTTTTTAAAGAAACCTCCATTCAGTCACCTTGATTTTGGTAAGCAATCAAATTAATTTGGAAAAAAACATACCCATAGTCCATATAAAATTGTAAGATTTCCAAACCATAGATAAAGTGTGAAAATTTATTGCAACCTCCACTGTTTCCTTGTTAAGCTCTAGGTTGCTCAGTACTTTGATGTTTTCCATTGGAAGGTATCCCCCACGCATTATCATAGAGTCTTCATTCTTCTCACACCATACATATAAACTATTGAGAAGCTGATGATGTGAGTCTAAGGGAAATTTTTTTCTCCATGTCATTTTGGATGAGCTGCTAGGTAACATGTATTTTTCCCATAGCCCTTTCCATTCCAGTTTTCCCCCAAGTCTTATTTCTTCCATACTAATACCTAGAACAAAAAATAATTTTTTGAATCAGGTTTAATTCTCATTCAGAAATGTTTCAATCCAGGGGAAATGAAGATGAGAAAATTGGGCAGACTTAGGACACATTCTAATATTTGGTGGCCTATATATCATTTCTCAAGTCAATCAGAATTTCACCTTCCAATGAAGATTCAAATGTATGAAAGGCTTGCCATGTGTCCCAGATGCCTTAAACTGCCTTGTTATTCTTTTTATATGTTGTTCCATTGGTAAACCATGTGGCACATGCCACTGCTTTTCAGGTGGTATGTAAAGTGCAACTTTTGCATAAAAGCCATTGACTGGGATGAATTCAGAAGAATCAGACATGAATTTTCATCAGTTGAAGAAAAAGAGTCTCCCTTGATCAAATTATGCATTCAATGACATATTTCAAAATCTAGAGGTATACTCACCAATATCCTGAACACTTGGATCCTTCATAAATCCACCAAAACAACAAGAATGAAATAGAATTATAAGGGCTGTAGTGTATTTTAAAAGATTCATCTGTCAAATTAATTTTTTTTTTGAATGATTGGAAGAAGTCAAGAACTTGGTTGTGTGATCATCTTGCAAGGGACCAATATGTAGAATTGAATGAGTGTCAGATTTCTTGTGAAAAATTGTACACAAAACCAAACAAATGTTTTGACTAACCAGTCTTTTCTTGAAGAACATAAATCACCTGTTGATACTCAACTCCATAATTATGCAATATGTGGTTCCAAAACATTACTTCCAAACCTGTAATTATTCAAACATGATGTAGGAATAAAATTGTATTTCCAGCTCAAAAAACATGCTTGAACATCACTTTAAACTGAATGGATCCATTTCATTATTCAACTTCTGTAGTTCAAGTAGAGTGGCTCAGAACCTTCAGTCATCATGGTGCAACTGATGTTTCAGCTATTTATTTGAGGAAACTATATATTTTTCAAATCAACAAATGAAACTGGATATGAACCAAGCAAACTACATACATAAGCTGTGAAAATGTTTTACATGATTCAAGTTTTATCACTTCCTAGATTTGTTGTAACCCCACATCTTACAGAATTTCCGATTTTTTTTCTAAAGAAACCCCCGATTTGTCAGATTGCACTTAAAAAAAGTCAACTGAGGGACACATGAAGGTTTGATACATCATTCTGCAATTTTCACAATCCAAGTAGATCAATTTCAATTTGAATCAAGAATCCAAGCTATCACTAATCAGGTGGATTTCTTTTTACAAATTTAGGGTGTATGAGATACTGCATGAAGGCCTGGCCAGGGAGGAGATCCAGCATGAGAAAGTGATGTGTCAGTGTACAGTGCCTTGACAGAAAAATCCAAAACCCAAGCAAGGGTTTGGAATAAGGCATGACCCCAAACCACGGGGTTCAGGGTTTTGCCCAAATCCAAACCCCGGGGTTCAGGACTCCGGATGCACTATGCAAAACCCCAGAACCCCGGGGTTTTGATATATCATAGGGAAACCATTTAAGCGGCTTAAAAAATGGATCGCTTCTTCTAGCTGACAGGTCCCAAGGACCGTCTGCAGAGGGTCGTTGGAGTTGGGAGTCATTCATTTCCCTGTTCTATGGCCGACCGGGCCCTCCAGCCCGTTTTTTCCCTTTGTATTCTTTGGGAGTCGGCTAGGTCTGGGGAGTTGCTCAGCTACTGACCAGCCAAGGAGGTGCTTTATTCATCTTGGCTGGTTGGTACAGCCAACCGGCAACAGTGCTTTCCTCCCTGGCTGGTTGGTACGGCCTGTACCAAACAGCCAGGGAGAGGCACTTGTAAGTTCTTGGCTTGCTGGTGCAGACTCACTTACCAACCAAGATGGATTCTGGAGGATCCTCTTCGGCCAATAAGTGAGTCTGTAACCAGCTGGAGAGGGTACAGACTTCGTCAATCAGCCAAGAAGAGCTTTTCCTTGGCTGGTTGACCGGTCAAAGTGGATCAACACCGCACCTGAAAAAAAAATCAAGACCCCGGGGTTCCGGGGTTCAAGCCCTGAACCCCGGGGTTTGTTCCTCGGGACTGGCCTCAGACTCTGTCCCGAACCCCGGGACCATGCCTTAGTTTGGAATTGGCAGGTGTCACCCCCTGTGATACCTGAGTACACCAACTGATTGTTGATGGTCTTCTGTTAGAGATGGTCAAAGGGTATCCGTTGCAGATACCCGCTATCCCCAATACAGATTTGGGTTTGTATCCGCCAGCGGATGCGTATGTCTGATTTGGCTGAGATCACAAGCGGATATCCACATCCGCGTGGATATCTGGATGCATAGCGACCATCTCTATCTTCTGTTGACCATTGACTTTCTCTCCAACCTCACCTCAACATTCACTTCAATGAAGACCCAAATCAACCTCAGTTCCATTGTACTAGCCAAGTACAACTCAGACTCTCAGTTGCATCAACAAGTGCATTTGAATTTCAACTTATCTAGCAATCCAAAGCCGTTCTCAATGAGCCCACAAGTAAAAAATTCTGTCTGTTTTTTATTTTTTCTATTTTTTTATTTTTCCATCATTCTTCCTAGCTCCTTAACCATCCACTTGTATTTTTCTCTTATTTTTCCAAAGCTTATTAAAAAAATTGGAAAAAATGTGGATTTTCTTCTTGATGTATCTTTTTTTTTTCTTTGCCAATTCAATAAAATGGCTGGTGTGATTAGTTTCCCAATCCCCCATTGTTCCATCCCCCCAAAAAACAAATCTCAAAAAGATTGATTTTGACCCCTACAAAAGGATGTTTGGGGATTTGGGGTTTTCTGTCAACCCACTGTATGTACATCCCTTCTCTTGATGTCGGACTGCTGGTGGCATGGGCGAGGTGGCGATCGGACAAGCCGGTGCCAGTGGTTTAGACGGTGTCCGACAAGCTCCGCAGTCCGGATCAATCTCCCTGGAGCTTGTTGCGGATATTCGACCGGGGGCCAGTTGGGAAAGTGGTGGGACTCGCTGATTTCCCAAGGCAAACGAACCACCAACAAAGAATACAATATCCGATGTCCTCCTCCTCTCAGCCACCACCATCAGGGCAGGCACAGGACGAAACAGTGAGGATATCAGAAGTGATCGAAAAGCAGAACGAATTGGAGGATCAAGCAGCAGAAGTACTCCCGTTTGACATCACGAAATGTTCGAAGCCAGCTGGACAGATACGACAATCGGTATACTCTTGTCTCACCTGTAATCCGATCAAACCAGAACGCGACCATATCCGAGCAGGCGTCTGTAGTTCGTGCTCGGTAAGCTGTCATACCGACCATCAGCTGGTCGAGCTATTTGTCCGAAGAAACTTCGCCTGCGACTGTGGTACAGATCGATGCAACCCCGGCCGATGTCACTTGGTCAACCAGCCCTCCGACTCAGTCAATCAATCACTCCAATCGAATCCTTCTACTTCGGCTACTGGCCCCTCAAATCGATATGATAAGAACTTTGATGGCCAGTTCTGCATTTGCGAGAGAGGTAAAACTTATGACCCCGAGACGGAAACTGAGGATATGTACCAATGTCTTGCCTGTGAAGAGTGAGGATGTTCTCCTTTTTTGATCTTTCTCAGACTAGATCCAGTGAATTGATCATAAGTTGTTTTTTTTTGATGTATGTAGTTGGAGACATGCTAGTTGTTTAGGACCACATCCTGATCCAGATGATTGGGATGATTTGATATGTGCACACTGTGTCCAAAACAACCCCACGATCAAATCCATCATGTTCAAACACGCCGGAGGAGAAGGCACTGGAATGATAGTCTGTAAAGACTCAGGCACGGATGGATCTAATCGCATCACTTGCTATGGAAAGTTGCCGGAGTCAAACACAGATGCCAAGCCAGAACCACCCTCAAATCAAACGGACGCATCAACCAGACCAGTTAAGGATTCGGTCGAAGAGAGTACTCAGATGGAAGAGACTGGACAGAAGAAAGACGAGGACTCGGAAGTCATGTCTTGCGTGGGCGCCAGCTCCAATTCACCCATTCCAACCAATCATGAATCCAAAAAGTCGCAAGAAGTGCTACCGACAAAAGAGGAGTGCAAAGGACTTTCAAAGGCAACCGAAGAAGTAGATCGAGCGGACGAAAAGCAGACGTCAGCGGAGCCAAAGAAAGCCATGTCGAATAAAAAACGGTCATCCAGTGTCAATCCAAACAAACAGGAGTCAGCTTGCGGAAAGAAACCAAAACTAGACAATGTCTCTGATCCAGCGATGATCGAATGTCGAGCCCCGTTCAAAAGCCCAGCCGAGTCTATCTTAACCACGATCGACCCCGGATTCTCCAACGTTTTCTTGGCCGCTGGGTGGCGAACCAGATGGTGCCCTTGTCCCAATTGTCGGCAGGTTTTGGGTCAGCTGAGTTGGCTGGTCGAGGAGGAAGAAGACGTCTGGGAACCTGGAGAAGATACCGATTCATGTTGAGTATTCCTTCTTCTTTTTTCTTTGCTTGCTTGTTGTTGTTCTCTTTCACTCTGTCTTTCTCATCTCACTACTTGTTCAAGTGGAAGCCTGTTTGCATTTCCATTTACCTCCCCTTCCTTCTTGATTAATTTTCCTCAACAATTGATATTGACACATCCCAATCTTCTTTCCATCTTCCTAAACACCACCAAACCGATGAAAACTTTCGACTCTCAACATGTGGATGATCATAGTGAAATCGATCCATGAGTTAGGACTAGAAGCCTTAAAGAACCTCCCTAGAGACCAACTGGTGACCGGCTTGAATGCCTATAATAAGCTGAAGGAACACATTCTCGAGTTCTTGAAGCCATTTGAATCGCAGGATTTGTTGGTCACCGAACAAGATATTCGCCAGTTCTTCAACGAGACTAAGTCTAAAATTCATAATCAAACTTGGTGATCATCATCCTTTAACCCTCCCTCTCTCTTCTTAGTCTTATTGATCTTCTCTGGGTTGTAAATCCCCTTCCTTTTCCTGATTGTTGTTTGATCTACTACATATACATGAATGTTTGTTTGTTTGTAAGCCTATGCATGTGTACTGTTCCCCCACGCAACTCCTGAAATAATAGGCACACATCAAGTAGGCTGTTTTGTTTAAGATGTTACAGCACCAAAAACCGTGTGTACATCTGAGGCAGATACTAAATCTAATTATGATCTTTTGAATGTCGACTTTTTTTTTCCTAACAATGAATACATGCTATATGGTGTTCAAACCTTGCTAGGGACCTTTGGCTCCCTCAAGAGCATCTGGTCAAAAAAAAAAAAATGAAATTGATGACTGATTTGCCCGGATTGAATTGTAAAATCACAAAAGCTAGAGTAGAATTTGTATCATTGATAAATACTCTACTAAGTAAAAATGAAAAACACACATCTTCAGTGGCCCAAGTTGGATGATCCTTTCAAGAAAGAAAGCCAATCAAAACCTGGCTTGATGTCATTGTCATAAATACATGATTTTTCTTTTCGATTGATTTTGGGAACTCCGAACTTCTCTATGTAGTTAGCTTGATGATTTTTGGTAGGGGCTGATCAATCTTGAGCTCTTGGGACCTACATAAAACGGCCTGACGGAATCTGGAAACAAAAAGTAGAGCAGAAATACATAATGAAATATTAATATCTGTGTATCGGTTACCCATGATGTGATCCTACTAAGTACGTATTTGTTCACCACACGAAGTAATGAAAGGAGCCCTCATCAACAAAAGGAAATTTGGCTTTGCTGAATTCTCAGTGAACTTGTGTGTTTAGAAAGTGAAGTGAGCTAAAGTTTGATTTCCATGGGCTTGATGGCCTCTAGATGTATAGGCATCGGCAAGCTCAATGGCAAGTAAAACAAGTGCAATCAATTCAAGATGTTTTAGGGAGAGCTTTGTAAGACCAGCGAGTTGGCCTCACTTGTTCAAGACCCGGATCCGAGTATCACTTTTCAAGCGTTGCTCGGCCAGGAGCAACTTGTACCCAGCCAGCAATTTTGTTCGCCCGCAGGGTGCAAAGTGGGCCCCAGTAACAAAAATCCTACACAATCACACCCCAGCGAGCAGGCAAAAGGTGTGTGTACTTGCTCCGAGTGAGATTCCACAAACCTGTACATAGAACATCGCCGGGGAGTGTTATTCACCGGCAAGCGAGTAAATCCCTGGAGGCCAGCTTGGAAGTGGCAAGTCTGAGTATTGTGAATGCAAATCAGACTTTTCATTACTCCTCAATGGGGTAATGAGGATCCACCTTAGAATTATACACATGGCTTATACTTATTGCTTCCAGATTCGCCCACCGCATAAAACGGCTTGTCCTGGATCATCTTGAGCCGGTTGTTCACCATCCAGAGTTGAGATCAGCTGATTAAAATGTGATGTGGATGAATCGAATCTGCGCAGTGGGGCACGTGACAGCAGGCGTGACTCTGAGCTGAGAGGACTGCCGAGATGTCACAGGCTATGATGTCACTAATAATGACATCATCAGCTGCTCATACTGTCCAAACTGAATATTTCAACAGCTGCCTACCCTCTTGACCAGAAACCATCACCTCTGTTGACCAGAACACAAATTTATTTCTTTCCTTATCAATAGAAACAAACACCGACAGGATGACCAACAATCAACCCGACTCTGCTCAATTCTCGACCTTGCTCCCAGCCGACCAGTACTACGGTACCTCTCACGAGCCTCGAAGAACAACTAGAACCTACAGTTGGTCTCATCGAAACAACAGTAACAACACTAATGGCGGAAGCAGCAACACCCATGACATCGGTGGCACCAACATCACCAACTCCCTGAATAACTTTCACTTCAACCCTCAAGAGCTTGATTCAACTATCAATAAGCAAAATCTTGACCAAGAGGAAGACTCATCATTTGTACAACATCAACGAAACCGTAGACTCAGTCATGGTCAGTAAGAAAACGATCACAAAAAAAACACATCTTTCCGGTTAAACACAAGCTGACCTCCTCAATAATGAATAGATGAAAAACCGATCCAAGCTAGGAAGTTCTTACTCCCAGTAGAAGAAACCATCAGATTGGTCTTAGAACAAGAAGACACAAACGGCGACTTTCAGATCTCAATTACTGATTCAGGTCCAAAGTTGTTATCTGTTGGAACGGTTTCTTCTAATGGTTACAAAAAATTCGACGTCAGTCTTCTAATTGTTCTGCTTTTAGACAAAAGAAAAGAAAAGAATAACTGTCAATTTTATCATCATAGATTCGAGGACAATATATGATCTCCAACCTCTTGCAAGAGTAGGTTGTTCTTCAACTAGATAATTCATCCTTTTGCTGACATAAATTTGTTTTATACAGGCTGGCACTTGCTTCATCATATGGTCGAAAACACATTGTGTTAGACGAAGGAAGACTGACAGAAAACCCAGTGGATCGACTTTCGCGAATGATCAAGACGACGTTTTGGCCCTCACTGACGCGAAGGATCGATGAAGCTGGATTACTGACGATCTTGACTGACCCCAAGGATCGATCATCCACCCAAGCCAGAAGGATTTACGTCCCCCATGGGGAAGCAGAGATCTTGGCTTACTATCAACAAGTCGCTAGTCAACATCCTCAGATCAAATTGATCGTTGAGGAGCTGCCCAAGCTATCAGACATCACTCCTAGCTTCGTTCGCTCTCTTAACGACCGCCCCGGCATCTTGGCTCTCGCAATGAAAAAAGTTCAGGTCGGCCCAGGTCATCACCAACTACAAGCTATCCCGTTCGTCGTGCCTGGTGCTCGGTTCAATGAGCTTTATAATGTTCGTATTTTACTTTTGATGATATAAACGCTTTCTACGTGTGTGTATGACGACTCATTTGTATGGCACCACTCTTTCGATGAACCCTCAAATTTTTAGTGGGACTCGTAAGATGACCTACACAACCTTCTGAATCAGTCATGTTCGATACAGCGGTTTCTAACCAGTGACTTTTCTTATGTTCCATTCAGTTATTTTATTTCAATCGGACTTTTGATCGATGATCATTTGGAACTCGCTCAAGGGATCGTCGAACATTTCGTATTCGAAATCAATCATTATGGGAAGATTTTGAAGTGAGATCTTCTGGATTTGATGCAGGTTTCTACCCAGATATTTATTGTTTTCCCTAAACACAGTGGCAATCGGTCATACTACTTGTGTCGTTCTCAACCTCCATTCCTGACCGATTTCGCTTTGCAAGTGTACTCTCGACTACACCCGCTTCAAATCACTGAAAACAAGATTTGGTTGGCCAAAGTGATCAAAGCTGCGATCAAGGAGTATCATACGGTGTGGATGGCTAAACCAAGACTAGAACCTAGGACGGGATTAAGTCGATATCGACCGGATGGGATCGGAGTTCCTCCAGAAACTGAATCCTCTCATTTTACACACGTCTTACAGCCTTATGCTCAAAAGCATTCGATGAGCGTGAATGAGTTTATTGATGCTTACAATCAAGAGAAGGTCCACGAGCCCGAATTGGATGAATACTTCACTCACGATCGAGCGGTCAGAGAATCTGGACACGACACTACTTATCGTTTCGAAGGTGTATGTGCAGACCTGGTGACGATCGACTTGAACAGTCTATTATATAAATACGAGATCGATATTGCTACTTGTATTCGAGATGTTTTCGACGATCGATTGGAGCTGGATGAAGAGTTCGAGTTCTCTAGTTTCCCATTTGGAGAAGAACTTCCGTATTCGGAATATTTTGATCACTCTCAACCATCACCACCACCACCACCACATCAACAACATGTGCCCATCGATCAAAAAGTTCAGAGCTCGAAAGAATGGTTCGATCGCGCTAAGAGACGTAAACAATTGATCGACCATTTCCTTTGGAATCCCGGAAAATCTCTCTTCTTCGATTTTAATGCTAAGGAATTCAAACAATCCAACTATGAGTCGGTGACTGCTTTCTGGTCATTATGGGCCGGTCTTGCTAGTCAAGAACAAGCTGAAAAATTGGTGTAAGTGTATATTATTCCTGATTAGTCGCTTGGAAAAGTGTAGAGAAGTTGAATTAACTTTCTTTTCGGATTTCCTAGGAAGACGTCGTTGAGGAAGTTTGAAGTACCTGGTGGACTTGTGGCATGTACTGAAGCATCTCGAGGGGAGATAAGCTTAGTAAGACCCAATCGACAATGGGAGTGAGTCGAAGAAATCACTAGATCACACTTGGATTTTAGCACTTTCTAGCTGCTGACCACCATCCATTCCAGTTATCCTGCCGCTTGGGCTCCTCATCAAATCTTGGCTTGGGTCGGATTGGAGCGATATGGGTTCACCCAAGAATCTCAACGAACCGCTTACCGATGGTTATACATGTTAAGCCTGCCCCCCCTATCCGCCCAGCTCTCCTTCTCTATCGTATTATTGCTTTAATGTTCATACTCTGATTCCCCTTCTCATTTTGTTGTTGTTGTTGTTGTTGTCTTGATATGAACACAGGATGACGAAAGCGTTTGTGGATTATAACGGGGTTGTACCTGAGAAATATGATGCGATCGCGCTCAATCATTTGGTCCATGCTGAGTATGGCAACCAAGGGGTTGATTTCAAGGTAAGTCTACCATCAATCTAATTTGCTCTCGGCTTTTCTTATGATTCTGATTTCAAGCTTGATGTTTTGGTATAGATGGTTCCAAGAGAAGGGTTTGGTTGGTGTAACACGAGTTATCAATTAGGCTTGAAGTTCTTGAACGACTTCCAACGCAGAGCCCTTGGCGTTCTCGTCCACCCTGATGAACTCTTCCTTCTCGCTAAACCTCGGCTTCCTACTCTTTAACTCTCCTCCACACTCACAGAAACCCTTTGGCCCGTGTGCAATCACGTTTCATTCTCCTTTTTTTGGTAGATTGAGTGGGGTTTTTATTCGGTCTTTTTTGTTTTGATTGGTTGGATGTTCCGCTCCAAGGAATTAGATTGTCAAGAAGAGATACATATACAAATTTAAGGAAAATAAAAAATAAAAACTAGAGAACAACATGAACTTGTAAATTGATTTTTTCTCATGTATTTGTTGTATGTTTTAGTTGTCACTATTTATCTTTAAAAATAGGACCCATGTCTCATTGAATGTGCTGTGATACATATTTAGTTGTTTTTTTTTTTCAAGTAAGCGTGATCTCATTTATGTGTTACATAGTGTCGTGAATTCCTCTATGATAATAAGATTAAGAATACATACTGCAGTGATCAAACAGAAGAGAAACCTGAACTGCTAGCTATGTCAATAGAAAAGTTTCACAAAGTTTACCCTGTGAAGCGATTGTTTGATCACATAGCAAAAAAAAACATCAGCATGTGAAAAAAGGGTCTGGCCGGGAATTGAACCCGGGACCTCACCCAGACAAGCCCCCACTGCGGAGGGAAGCCCCTAAGGGTGAATCATACTACTAGACCACCAAACCCGATTACACTACACCGCGGGTGCAATCTGGACAAAGTGGGTTACCCTTGGGACGGTAGTGTCCCAAAGCCATCCCAGTTGCGTGTCCGACGCCCCTGCGTCGTTCCCAACCTGGCAGGCTGGCCAATCGCCAGCACTGCAATAAGCCCTCGTGATAGGCACCCAACGGCCACACCCATCAACGGCACCCGGCCCAAAGACGTACCCAGACCACCCCAATTAACAACCACCGCCAACTAGGAAGCAACCACTTGGGCTAGCTCATCAGCGTTATTGGGACGGTCCTCAAATCTCAATACCCGAACCGCCCGCTGCATCATCCTCTCCTTAACAACTCACCGTCCCCAATGAAGCATTGCCCCAAGTATAAATCCAATCTTGGGAACGGTTTCATTTGGCCCCACCAGAAGTAAGCCAACCCATCAAACCACTTGCATTCGTATCTCGATCGTTGGGATGTCTCAACTGATGCCGCATTGAGCAGGGGGGCCGCATTTTTCCTACCAGTGATCACAATATCCTCATGGTCCAACACGGTGTACATGAGCCATGGCCGAGTTGTCCAAATCCAAGCAGGCAAATCCATCTGTGGCTGTGTTCCCAGGCCAGCCCATGCTTGACGATTGCAGTGATGATTAAGATTGTTCCCAAAGGGGAATCCGGTTTGGTGAGTTGGAATGTTGTGCGCTGCGGTTTCTCAGGTTTAAGGAATTCAAAAGCCGAGCCTCTGTCGGTGAGCACCTCCTTCATCCCACACACAACCCTTTATTTCCCCTTTGCTGTATACTTTTATCTTTTCCCCGTTGATTTTCCTTTGAATCATGTCTGACTATGTCCCCACGGAATCCGAGATCAACTACCAGTGCCGGGAGCCCACCCGCTCACCAGAACAACCCCCCCATTGACAGAACCGAACTCAGATGAGCCAGACGGGTCCATTGAACTCAGAAGAGGTTTTTCTCATGTCGGGGAGTCGCTAGCATATGTAAGTGAACACCTCACAAGTTTTTACCCATAACATTCCTGTGCTGACTGAATTCATTAGGTCGCACAACCCTGGCGATACGCCATACACCTCAGCTACAGCCAGCTTGCAATATTGCAGGCAATTGAACGTTCTCAGAGCAAAATTCTAGCTGGATCGCATGCACCTACCGCCCATGATGTCACACCCGCAAACCAAGCTTGACACTTTCAATACACCCCGGTTTTCAAGGTGCTTAACATCACATCCGGTTTTCTACCTCGTGCACATTGATCAATGGCGTTCTTTGCAATTTTGGCAGGCTTTTGTCAAGCGCAAGGCTCGCGGGCTCCTCATGAAAAAGAACCTGAAAGTTTACGGCTCCGATGTCCCTCGTGGTGCACCTGTGATGCAGAGCGTTCGGTGGCAGCCGCGGGTGACAATGCCGAGCTCGATGGCGCTACGTTGGCTGGATCTTGAATTTGTGAGCCGGATTTCGGGAGCTTAAATGGGACAGCGGGCTCTCTTACTTCTTAGCTTCCTTGCGTTTTCGGCGCACTATATCCTTGTTTGCATGATGTACATATTCATTTTTTCGCCTGGGTTTTTCTTAGTACCTTGTGCTTTTATCTTCTTTTACCTCACTTTCCCTGCCCGCTTTGTACATAATCACATCTCTTCCTCAATTTTTCTGTCTATAGTTGGATACTAGCACACCCGTACGGGGTGGTCTCCTTCCTTAACACTCCATCACACTGGTGAAAGCAATAAGTTCCGTAGTAATATCACCGTGCACCCCATGAGTGTCCGTGGAACGCACACTGAATGCCTCAGGTGGTTTGTGGAGGCAAGGAGGGCCGTTTTCACACCGGCTCTGGGTTGGTCGCCTCCAATAGGTTAGCCTTGTTGCAGGAACAACGTGCCCGGAGGGCGTCCAGACTGGACGCCATCTATTCAGATCCGCAGCTGTGGTCTGCGCTGGGGCTGCATATCGGCTGTCACATCTGGGGGAGGATGCCCTTGGGATGAGCTTAGGATGGACACGGGACACATTACTCGGGTGTCCAGGTGACGTCCGGGCAGAACGCCCTGGGGCCGACATTTTTTTTTGGCATGGGGAGCGCCCGTGAGTCGCTCCCACTGGTTGTTGGGGTTGTCCAGGGGATGTCCTCGGAAGGGCTGTCCCTGGCCTGGCCGACTGCACCCGCGGTGTACAGGCAAATAGCTGACGTTACGCGCCGCAGCGTCACCTGACGTTTCACAAGCAAAGTTCGACTCGCGCGACCTGTGAAACCCAAGTCTGCAGCGACAATTGCTCCCCATGCAACGTCAGTATGTATATACCTGCCCTATGTTTCAGGCGCAGTATCAATACAGTTGTACTGTCGGGTTACGCGTAATCCGACAGTACGACTGTGGATCCAACAGTATGACTGTGAATCTCACAGTTGTAAATTAAGTAATGGGAACACAACATGCCTAAAGAACCAATGGGTTAAGTAAGTCGACCCTCGCCACCATTTGTTGTCCCCACCTCGTTTCATTACTCTTTGGCCTCAACACCACTCTTGAAAAACATGGAAATCTGTGAATGCTCAAAATGCATCAATTTTCACATACTTGACGAAGGCGGTCAGAGAAGACCTGGTCGCTACTTATCCTCCCGAAACGCTGCCAAACATCGACTAGATGATCTTTACCAACCACAACCACCATCGCGGGAAGACTCATCCATTTCTTCAAGCTTGACCTTATCCGAAACAGAAAGTGAACTGTCCTCCATCGTTGAAAGAGACAATCCTCTTGGCCGTAAGTTTCTCTTTTGTTACAACCCTCAAAATCCCAATTCACTGTTCTGATCCATGTTTACCTTCCAGTGTCTATTGTCCTTCTTATAACGTGGCTTCATCTATTCTGTAATTTGAGCCGACAAAAATGTGCGACCGCCATTCAAATGATCATCAACATCCTCAGTCTAGCCGTGAAACATTCAAATTCATTTCCAGACCTTGATGCCATTCCACGTGATCCTCGAACAATCATTCAAAGAGCCAACTTGGATGTGGAATTTACGGAAAAAATCTGCTGTCGAGTATGTTTTCAACTGTTTGATATACATCCAACTACTCCTTGGCGTTGCAATTACAAACGATTCACCAACTCAGATCCCTGTGGCGAAGAACTTTTTGTCAACAAGAAGATCTACCGAGGCCATAAAGACATTGGCGATCTTGCATATTATTCTAAACTACCCGAAATTCAACCCAGTATTATTGGAACACCTCGATGCACCTTTCTCTCTCAAAGCATCTTAAAGTGGATTACGTGGCTTCTATCACAGCCAGATACCGAGAAGGAAATGGACGCCTGGATTCAAACTAATCGAGACCTTCGCAATCAAGGCTACTTTTCCGATATTCAACATGGCAAGGTTTTTATGGACACAAAATGGATGAATCGACCAAACATGCTGAAACTCGGAATGTCTTTGTTTGTTGACTGGTTTAATCCTCGTGGAAACAAGATCAGCGGCAAGATAGAGTCGACCGGTGTTCTTGTGCTTTCCTGTCTTAATCTCCCACCAACCATCCGAAACAAGCTCTCTCACATGTGTATTGCTGGAATCACCCCTGGACCATACTCGCCCGATCCTCAGACATTCAACCACCTCTTGAGCTCAATTGTCGATGAATTAATTCAACTAAATTCTGGGAATCTCATCCCAACTTACCAATTCCCATCTGGTCGGTTTGTTCAGATCAAACTTTTGTGTGTGTATGGTGATGTGCTCGCTACCAAGAAGGTCCTGGGTTACGCTTCTCATTCGGCAACCAAATTCTGCTCATTTTGTCATGCTGTACAAAACGATATCCCCAAGCTACAACTATGCAGAAGACGAGAGAAACAGGAAACAATCTCTGCCGCACAAAAGTCAAAGGTCGCCAAATCAGAAACCGAGCAAGATGGAATTTTGAAAGCTACTGGCGTCCGATGGTCTGAACTCAATCGACTCGCGTATTGGGACCCTAGTCGCCATCTTGTCTTAGGAGTGATGCATAACTGGCTGGAAGGGATATTACAAGGTCACTTTCGCTACCGTTGGAAATTTGGTTCGGTCTCGTCATCACAAGCCAAGAGAAAGCTCCAGAACTGCCGAGGTGGCTCTAGTAAACGAGCAAGGACAACGATTGAATCAGCCATGGATATTGACGAGACCATGCGCGGGGAATACGAATTCGACGAAGATGAATCTGATGATGATGAAGATATCTCACTTGACGGGGGCGTTGGCAGAAGTTTCTTTTCCGAAAGCGACATTGAAGAATTTCGGAAGCTGATGAAGGAGGTGAAACTGCCTCCTGGAATTCCTCGTTTACCTTCAAATCTTGGAGAAGCAAAACATGGGAAACTTAGTGCTTCTCAATGGCATGCACTTTTTGTTTTTATCATTCCTCTAGTGCTATGTGAAATGTATGTCAATGAAGTCGGTAAACTTGATGTCAGCTCTAATCGGTACAAGTTTCTGGCGAATACAGCTCACCTAATTGCGTGCACCAATGTGGTCTTTGCCCGAAAGTTCAAACAAGCCGACATCAAACGATTCGAAATGAACTACAAAAAGTACTCCGATTCAGTTGGTGGGCTATTTGAAGGCGTCAAGGTCCAACCTAATCACCATTTCTCTCTACACATTCCAGAACAAATGGTTGGTTGGGGGCCTTTATCTGGTGTTGCTGAGTTCCCTGGCGAGCGTCTCATTGGATTCTTACAGAAAATAAATACTAATAACAAGATTGGTGAGTGACTACAGTAGACTATTGCTGAAAAATGATGATTGCTTATCTGTTCTTCCGGCAGACGAAATGCACGGGACTATGATTACACGCGGGTGTCGATTACAACGATTGATGGCTCATCCTGACTATACCCAGTTGTCAAATTTGCAAGACGAGGAGGACACGAAAAGCATCTGGGAATCAAAGCCAATACATCTACTATCATCAAGGTATAAATTGCTCTTTGAAGTTGTGGCCAGTAACGATAGATCAGTAGTCAACCGCGAGACCTTTCCAGTACCACGGGATTCCTGGGTTCTATCTGGAAAAGTAAGACCAGTGCGATCAATCAGCAACAATGGGGTGGTTGTTGGTTCAATGGCTCCTCGTAACTGTGTGGTGGCAAATGTGGGAGGTAAAATGAAGTATGGCTTGGTGCGGCAATGCTACCAATACCAAAACAAACTGGGGGAGGTGGATGAGTTCTTAGTAATTTCGAATATTACAAACCGGTACCCTAAGGTGAATAGGGCAATTCCAACTCGGCCATTCCGGTACTTACTCTTCCTCTTCGGCATGGTCGTGGGCAAGGTTGAAGATGAAGAAGAAGTTATTGTGCCGTCTCAAGTGGTCTCGCTGGCAGCATACCGAATGCTAGACAATGGTACATTCTCAATCAATCAAAATGGGATAGCACTCATTCCCCATGGATACGATGTACATCTCAACATATCTGGTCATGAATAAATCCTCTCTTCCCTCTTTTCTTTTATTCTTGGTGTTCTTTCCTATTTTTTCATCAATTTTCATAAGTACCAGCCTCAATCGCCACGGCTTCCTCTTACAAATGAGGTGCTCTTTTGGTAAATACATACATATACATATAGCTAGTAGTACTCGAATGATAACCATTAAAAACATGTGCTCTCTGAAAAGTGTCTACCACTCCGTTTATTAGTATGTTGTGTTTCTTTGAGGTCAGTCTGATATCATATGCTGTTTTTAATATGTGCCTCTTGTGGAAAAGAAATACAAAGCCCTTGATACATGTTTACCATCGATCCATCTTAGCTAGCCATCATCAAACAGTCATTTGGAGCTTGCACGGACAATTGCAACCAACATTGCACTTTCTCCATTTCTCAAGCACAGAATCAAAGTGCTCGACTTGACATCTTAAGCAACCATGTTGCAGCAATCACTCACTGCATTACTTGCACATCTTACCAACACATCACAGGTTTATAAATGAAAACATTCATATATTTGAGAATGGAACACTACACAGCTTGAGCATAGATTGATTTGGAATCATGAGACAAGGGAGGAAAATGAAAGAACTTGCAATCACAAGAATTCAATAAAAACTTTTATTGTAGAAGAAATGTCTTGGATATTTTCTTGAAGGCTGTAGGCCTTGCGTAATTTAGATAATTGGAAATGAATAAACAAACGTGTATATGTGTATATTGTGATATGATTTGGCTACGTTATTGGATAAAAAAATGGAGACACACTCTTGTCCTGTCTACAGTCAAAAGAAATTACCAATCCTCCTCACCCTCTGGAATATCGGCCATGGGGTGATCGACATCAAGGCCCACACCGTCCTGAGCCTCATCGTACTCTTCATCATCATCCTCATCTTCGTCTTCACCACCATCCTCCTGTTCATCGTTGTCCACAAAAGATTCATCATCTCCTTCCTCATCGTACAGCTCACCAGCATCACCCTCGACATGATACTCGTCGTCGGAATCGGAACCCTCGCTGGGTTGAGTCAAGTCGATGCCCTCGCCTTCATCGCCTTGTCCGTTCACTTGATCCTCTGCTGCATTCTCTTCCTCCTCAGAGGATTCCTCCTCCAGGAGTCAATATGGCTCAACCACAACTTCCCAATACTTTCTGGTAAACGTCGAATCTTTCAGTTTCTCGTCGAGATTTTTTTCGGATTTAGGGAGTAAGGACTCGTTTGCATTTGGGAGGAAGGCGATGCGAGTTCTGTCGGGAATCGAGTGTTGCTGGGCAGGGACTAGCTCATTGAACCACTTCGGGTGGTAGAAATCAATGGGCAAACCCTTTGGGGCGGCCTTGTAGAGCGATTCCTGTGGCTCCTTTGGCAATCGACGAACCCGGCGACGACTTGACTTTCTTAGAGGATCTTGCTCGGCAGCCTTCTTCATCACTACATCCAACCTTCGGAAGAAACGATTGGCATTGTTTGAGCGGTAGGGCAATGTCTTGATCTTGTAGAAGCCTTTCCCTTCAACTTCCTCATCATCACTGTGGGCGGCGATCGGCTCTAAGATGTCCCGATAGCGTTGTGGGAACTTATTGAGAATAGCAAAATTGCGGCGCTCATCCCTCAACTACATTGATCACAAAAACAAATGAGTCAGTAATCTACTCGGGGGAATAGAAGAAAATATTTGATTTACCCTTTCGCGATTCTTGTTATGTTTTTTATTAGATGCTTCTTGAGCAACTTTTCCTTTCTGCTTGATTTCTTTTTTGTACTTTTCGGCTTGGAGATAGTGGACGAAATGGTTGTAGGCCGGAATGAGTAGAGTCATGTTTTGAGCCATGGCCGGATCGACTTTGAGGTAAGCATAGGCTGGAGTCGCTGCAAGCTCTGTGAATGTTGTCAGAGCAGCAATTCGATGAGCAGCGTTGTAGAGGGAACCCGAATCTTCATCCAAGTTGGGGCACCAGACACTTAAGCCCAATTGGGCCATGATTCCTTGAGCGTAGCGAACGAAGTTGCTTCCAAGGTGGATGACCGATTTTCCAAACTTGATGCGACCACCTTGAGCGTCTTTCAAACATGAGACTTGGCCAACATCTCGGTTTGCAGAGCCAGATCGGACAGCCTCTTCGACTTGCTCTGCTCGTCGAAAGCGTCTGTAGAATTCTTCAAGTTTGCTTAATTCGGGAGGCTTTGGAACCGAGTCCTGTCTCAGGAGACCCCAAAGAATCTTGATGTGTACAAATAAGGCAGTCTTAAAAACTTTAAGTCAGTAAGCTGGTGATGGAATGTGGGGGGAGGAAAAAATAACACACCTTGGTTGGCCCAAAGGCTGCGGGAAAGTCGCCTGTTTGAATTTGTTGAGGGTGTCGTTTGGGTGAGGGTTTGGCAACAGGCGTCTCAGAAATTGACTTGCGGGGTTTTGGCGGCCTCATGAATTTGGGTGGGGCTGAAGTGGCTCGCTGGTTTCTGTTTGGGGTTGTTGGAACTGGGGCCTTCTTCTTTGAAGCAGAGGCAGAGCTGGAGGACGTGCTGACATCATTGGCAGTAGGATTGGTGACCTTGACTGTGGACTTCTTGCCCTTTGACTTTGAGGTGGACTTCTGTGAGTTGAGGTTGGATTTGAGTGATTCGATTTCTCGGGCAAGCTTCTCGATAACCTCTGCTTGGCTTTCGGTGTCGGTGGGGGAGCCATTTTTTTTAGTTCGGCGAACAGTTGGAGGGACAGGGGTCGAACTTGAAGTTGCCCAAGCGTTGTGCAAAGGATCCATACTGAGGTTGGAGTGTGTAGAGCGAGTTCAGGGTTATGAAACAATATCGAAGGATTGGGTGAATGGGATGATGTGATGAGGGGGATTGGGCACTGGAAGAGTCTAGTTCTTATATTCTGTTTGGGGGGTATAGGGGGCAACTTGAATGTTGAGTAGGTCTTGAGATTCGTCACAATGAGTCATCATTCAGGAGTAGGTGCGGTGAGACGTTAGGTAAAAGGAGCAAGACATGACCTGCTGTCGTTGCATGCCAAACATCTGTCGCTGCTGATGACGTTGCATATGAATGAAAACTTGCATGCAACGTCTGGGTGACGCTGCGGAGCGCAGCGACACCTGGTTGCCCGTAGTGTTACGTCATTAAGGCAGAAATGTCTACTATATCACAAAACGGAAATTGCATGTGGATTGGATGATTTAGAGATCGACGTGTCGATTGTGAGGAAGCTGACGATTGATCGAGCCTGGTTGCTGTTGAGTTGGTTTGTATTTTTTTTGTCTCTTTTTTTCTGGGTTGTTCAACTAGTGTGGTCAAACAGTTCAACTGATTAATTATTTATGTATGTAGCAGTTGAAGTCAGCCCCGGATCCGGGAGAGACTCAAACCCAGGGGGGGATCAACTTGTCGAGGGAGAGAAAAGCAACCCACTTCACCAACTGCAACTGCCTTTTGACCACTTCCATAACACAAAAACAAACCAAACACTAGGAAGTTCAAGATGATGCCCACTCCAGTACCACCCTCTCCCTCTGAACTGGCGATCCCCAAAGTACTCTTCAAAGGCAAACTGGTCTCCGGCAAGAAATCCAACTCGCCCTTCTTCGTCCATCAACGTCACAAACAGAGTCGCTCGATCGACAACATCTCCAACCCTCCAACAATCACTACCACCTCTGTCTCTTCTTCTTCATCATCATCATCATCATCTTCGTCGTCGGAAAAACAGAAGAAAATGAACTCTAACAAGAAGAAGAACATCAAGACAATCGACCAGCACTCCCATTCGATCCTCGCCAAATCTGCCGCTCTCCTCGTCTCCGGAATCAGATACTCAATCCTCATCCTTCTCATCAGCATCTTACTTAGTCGGATGATCACCGAACATTGGCTATGGGGATACGACGGAAAATGGGCCAGACTGAGCCACTACTTCCCCGTAAGTCATAATATTACCTCGCTTGTTTTTTTTTTTTTTTTTTTTTTTTTTTTTTCAGTTAAAGTGGCACGATTTTTCTTGATGTGTGTGTATATGTGTTTGAATTGAATTTTGCAAGGGTCCACAAGAAACCTTCACGCTCGAAAGATTGGCGTTACATGACGGAGTCCAAGACCCTTCCAAGCCGCTCCTCTTGGCCATCGACGCCCGCGTCTTCGACGTCTCCGCCAACCCCGCCATGTATGGCCCCGGCGGCTCGTACCACCACTTCGTCGGCAAAGACGCCAGCAGAGCTTTCGTCACCGGTTGCTTCAAGTCCGGCCTTACTTTCGACCTGCGTGGTCTTAATGATCGTCAGAAAAAAGTACCTCCCTTTTTCTCTTTCTTTTCTCTTTTGGGAAGATTCACTGATATCTTGATGGCTGTTTTTTTTTTTTTTTTTTTTTTTTTTTTTTTTTTCTTTTTCAGTCTTTGGATTATTGGATCAATTTCTTTGAGAATTCGCCCAAATATTCGAAAGTCGGCAGACTGATTCTGCCTGACTTAGACGCTTCCAACACGCCGCTTCCGGTCGACTGCGATCCGAAGCTCGAAGGCGGAGCGATCTGATCTAACTTCGTCTATCTTTTGGGGGCTTCTCCCTCTATTCATCATCCCACTTTTCTTTCAAAGAAAGAAAGAAAGGGGGAAGCTTTGTTTGTGTTTCTTTCGGTACTCCCCCCCCCCCCACCTTCCACCCATTTTTTATTTCATTGTCCTGCTCTCATCACATGTAATTTGTATTGAATCATTCATCTATTATCATCCCAACAAAAAAAAACCAAAACAGATCTATCAGTCCTGTTGTATTGATTATATAATATTGTGTAGTAGTCTTAGATTTTCTTTATCCCCTTCTTCTTTTTGTTCTTTTTTCATATATTACATAACCTTACCTTACTTTTTTTGACCACCGTTTATATGTTCTCTAGATTGTTTTCTTTTGATGTGCATGTGCGTAGTAGAACCACCAACCCAAAAAAAAGAAAACATGTGAGATTAGAAGCTCTCAAAATATCACTCCATCATATACAAAAATAGATCCATGTATCACTCTCCTTTTTTGTTATCATCCTAGACCTAGACTATTCAGACAATGATGTTTCAACTGTTTGTTATATAGTTGTAGCGACACGTCTTTTTGACAGTTTTGTATGAATATGTATGATGTCCATTGCTGAGACTAAATCACATCCATCTACACAAACCATTTTGATCTCTGATCATTTTTTTACATGTAGTGTATATCACCTTCAAGCCAAGGTATTTTCTATGTAATGATGAGATTGGGAAATAGGGTTGAGGCAATGGTTGGGCCAGTTACACTAACCATGGTGTTATTGTAGCTCAGCATAGTGTATTTCTGGCACTGCTGAAAAAAAAAAAATAGTGTAGTGTGGCCAAATTCTGCCATGCCTGAGCTAACACTACAAGCGCAGGCCGCTCAAATGTGTCTGCTACACTACACCAAAACACTAGTTAGCCGCACGTTGGCCCTGTAGCAGCCATTAGCGGTCCGTAGTCTAGCATAGTTTAGTGCTAACACTACACAATTCCCACACAAAAAAAAGAAGCTACACTCACACTTTTTGAGCAAAACAGTGTTGTAGCCGCCCACTGCTGGTTAGAGATGGTTGCGGATAATCCGCCGTGGATATCCGCTATCCGCTGGCGGATACCCGCCAGCAGGTGCGGATGCACCCTTCCCCCTGAAATACTGGCGGGTATCTGGGTATCCCAAGGGATACCCGGTACCAAGAGGCCACACCGCCGGGAGGAATCCCTCCCGGCAAGCGTCTACAGGCCAGCTCGCTGGGAGCAGTTCCTCCTGGCAAGCTGGATTGTGTACCAGCTCAACAGAAGGGGGTCCTTCCGACAAGCTGGTTTAAAAAC